CCTTTATTTTCGAACAAAGTATAATGGCAAAGTGATCCGCGATTTCTTACGAATACTACTTGACAAGTTGGCTAGTAAAATATTTTTAATTTTATCGGAGATTACCAGTAGAATTCATACTATTGACTATAATAATACTCTATGACATACTTTGAAATTCAATAGTGATTAATATTAAATATTAATTAGTTAATTAAATTAATTTCAATCTGTTTCATATCTGTTAATATATATACATTAGTTCCACAGATCTGTGACGTAATAAGTATATTTCGTCACTATTTCGTAGGTCACATCTCGTAGCTTAATGAACAGAGCATTGGTGCCTAAAGCCAAAGGTCCCGAGTTCGATTCCAGTCGACAGCAACAATTTTTCGTCATTAAGTTGAGGTAATAGCGGATAAAAATTAAAAAAAAAAATTATTACTGAAGGTCAAGTTGCTATTTTTACTTAAATGGTTTATTTATTAGAACTCTACTATTGGGTTGAATAATAATTATTATGCGATAATTCAACAAAGTTGTTATTCTATTTAGCAAAGCATATCAACACTAAATTAATTATTTGTTAGACAGGTAGGTACCTTCTATTGCTATACATCACCTTCACCGTTTTCCCTGAAAAATAAACCCATTTATCTTCGGGAAAGCTGTCACATAATCTTCACTGACACCCTTTACTAATAGGATTACCCATAGGTATGTCAACGGGCTTATTTGCGGATCTTCATATCAGACGAAACACACTTGCGAAGTTACGAGAATGTACAATTTATTGCTAAATACCGTGCCTACGAAACAACCGAAAATCCGAAATTAATGAAACCCATTTTTGGTGGTCGATGAGTATCTTTTTTAGATGATTTTACTCTCAGGCGCGGGACTAGCTAAGGGCAAATCGAATAGGGTATTATCCTCTTCTCAGAAAATATCATAAATGGCGCGGTAAACGCCATCTGTAGTACGATGCTACATTTTAGGATTACGTATGCTCCAACAAGGTCCATCTAAATATATGGATTTCTACTTGCTGAAACGAATCCCGGCGTAGCTAACTTCAACGTGATAGGCACGTTACCATAATCGAATAAAATAATTCGAAGTGGTCTGTCTTTTCTCGAAACAAACTGCCAGATGCGGATCGCAATTTCGATCTTCTTGGATCTCATCAGCGCGTCGCAGGCAGCTCCGACAGAACAAAGACCAACTTTTATCTGCTGTCTTAACAGCGCGTTTTAGAAAATACCACAAATGGCGCGGTAAACGCCATCTGTAGTACGTTGCCACATTTTAGGATTACGTATGCCCCAACAAGATCCATTTAACCCTCTTTTTAGCTCATTAATGAAGAAAATTTAATATCCTTAATCGATGGAATTATAAAGTATATAAAATGAAAATCAATAATCTCGAGTATTTCCTTAAACGACTATGACGACAACCAACAGTCAATTGTCACAATTTTGACTAAAAGATTAAAGTCAAGGTTACATATGTTGGATTGGAGTTTCAAGGTAAATATCGTGATTGAAAGATTATAAGTGAAAGATCATACAACATTTTGGGAGAGTTATCTAAAGGCCCATCTTATTCAATTGAGAAAGTGAGAAAAAAGGTTGAGAATAATTTTCAATCTCTGTTTTGATTATAACTGAGACGTGACTGGTGTTCGGAGAAAAATAAAAGTTGGAAGAGTAGGGAACTGCAACTGCAACGTTATTTGTCCTTGGAAAAGCTGATCCAACATTGTCAATGCATTGTGTACGTCTCTACCCTTAGAATGCGTTAAAAGTATCTAGCACAAGTAGTTATTAAAAAGACGAGAGGGCGTTATTACACCCATGAGAGTCATTATCTGCCCTTTCCTCACTACGTTCCACCCCAGACGTATTCAAACTACTGCAATACGTTAAGATTTTTAATGCAACGTGCACAGAATTCGAGAATATGACGCCGAAAAATATGATGACAAATTTCTTTTACGTAGCTAGAATGAACCTGATACCGCGAAAAAAGTTTGATTCTTTAACATTGTATTTGTTTATTTTGCGGAAGTTTTCTTTTTCTAACCCTTTGGGTTCTTTTAATCTGATATCAAAGAGCTTTCACGAATGTTTTCTTTTTTATACGACCCCAGCGTAGTTCAAAAGAAGGATTCAGGCCTTAGCAAATAATTGTGGGGTGCATTCAGTAGAGAAAATAATGACGTAGGGAAAGTCACTAGCGTCCACAGCAGAGGTCGGGAATCTGCGGTTTTCACGAGTTTCTTGTACAGCTTTCATTAATGTCAGTCCTTGTGTTAATTATTATGTAGGGGGCAACTTAAAAATTAATAGAATTGGGTAAAAAACGTGCTGCCATTTGTTCAATAAGATAAGAATTACAATGTTGGAGCTCTTATGATAAAAGTATATAAAAACTATAATTTTACAAGCCGCATTTATAGGTATATAAACTTGTGTGGCCTCCTTCATTATACCGAGCGGCATGGCGTAGAGGTTTAGACTATTGCTTAGCATTCGGGAGGACACCGGGTTCGTCTGCCTTGTTCCAAGTTTTTCTGTGGTTTCCTTGGATCATTTAGGTAAACGCTGGGCAATCATATTCCACAGATAATCTTTCATTCTCTTCTGTCTTCATTTCGTCCGTCTCATCTTTGTCACCCGAACCACCATTCACCCATTCCCACGATTCCTGAAAGGAGATTGAAGAAGGTCTTCCGCTTTAACTTTCGGCGTAGTCCGGAGGGACTGCCTGCCTACCAACATTAGTAGCTAGGATAGTGTGTACGTCCCGAATTTTTCCGAAACAACATAGGACCTTGTAAAAATCAAGAAGATGAACCAGAATAGTCTCAGCTTCTTTGCAACAGTTCAATAAAATTTTGTACCAATGGATCCCTGATGGTAGTTTCGTGCTAAAGACTCTCCCTCGAAACCTACGAGGGCGGTTCAATAAGTACCCGTGTTAGAAATGAAGACACCTTTTTTTTAAAATTTGTTTTTTTATTTTTCAACATAGGCCCCTTTTAGAAAGATATGCTTCTCCCAATGACCCTACCATTTTTTTTACCCCTCCAAAAAATAAGATTTGTCGAACTCTCCAAAATACCCCTTGTCTCGGCGATGACTTCCTCGTTTGAGCTAAATTTAATTCTCGCTAGTCATTTCTTCATGGTAGGGAACAAGAAGAAGTCGCAGGGAGTCAAATCGAGTGAGTACGGGGTGTGCGGCAGCAAATTCATAACGTAATTCATGCATTTTGGCGGCAACAACTCCTGATGAATGTGCCGGTGCGTTATCGTGTTGAAAACGCACCTTCTTTTTCGTCAAATGCGTCCGTGTCTCCTTCAATTTTTTGTCGAAGCGGTCCAATAACTCACTGTAGTATTGTCCAGTGATCGTTCTTCCTTTTCCTAAAAAATCCGTAAAATGATTTCCTCGGTAACAACGTTTGCCAGGCTTCCTGGTCGCTCCTATCAAAAACGGATCTTTGCCCACGTTTAAATTCGTTGAAGCAATATCTAACTGTGGTCGTAGATGGCGAAATGTCTCCATAAACAGTATCCAACTTTGTTTTCATCTCCTCGCATTTTTTCCCATCCAAAAACAAAAAGCGAGTTACCGAACGATACTGCTCTTTTTCCATCTTAGCGAAAATAACGAAACACGTCTGAGTGGAATGGCTGCCAAATCCAAACTAACCTATCAATCAGTCTGAAATTCGTTTTGGCGTGGTTTGATAGATGGCAGCACACGATGACAACGCCAATTTCCCTCAGAAACGTCCTCTGTCTTCAAACACGGGTACTTATTGAACCGCCCTCGTATTTACCAGACGCTCATTGAGTGATCTTGTTATTAGATGATATTGCAAGGTGAGGCAATACCCAATTAGGAATGAAGAAATATTGACAATAATCAGGCCTTGTTTTAATTTATTTGTATTCTTGTTTTCAAAATTTGTTGTCATAATATTTGTTTCCGTTTTTCCATTCGGGCAGCTATTTAGTTAGACGTAGAAATTTCACCCTCATAAACATTTGCTCCAAGCAGTAACTTGTTTGAATGTATTGAGCTGCTTTAGGAAATTGGTTTCTTTCCATGATAGACGACCTACATCTAAAATATACCAGGAGTTTTGGCAGTTTACGTACGAAAGTATATGCTTTGATTTAAACTTATGCGATGCAAAAGTCAGGCAAGGAACAATTCACTTTTCTTGAATGATTTACTGCTGGACAAAGGTAAGCCCATGCTATTTTACGCTTTCCTTAAACGGAACATCATATTTTATAGAAGCATTACCATAAAATTGATATGCAAATGAAAATCCGTGACAAATAGTCCTGGGACTCCGTGACTTTATTGTCCAACGAGGCAATGGGTTTATGTATGTGTAGTTTCACCTATCTATGTACGTATAACGATCTCGATTTCTTTTTTCTTTTCAGTTTTAATTAAATGGGTAGCTTCCAGTGGGAAACACTGAAAACAACCGGCAATTGCATGAAGATGCTGAAAAGCGAAACAGCTGCCCCCAAAGCAAAAAATAATAAAATTGGTATAACAGAAAATTAAAATACCAATTGATCATTAAGAACAACAAATACTTTAGTCGATGCCTACAGAAGGTGGAAATAAAGTAATAAATAATTAAAGAATTAAATTCAATCGAGATGACAATTTGTAAAGATAAAGTAAATAACAGATAAATTTAACTTTATTAATTGTAATTAAGATAATTGACATAATCTAACTATAGGCAAAACGTAGGTGTGATCTGTTACCATATGAAAATTAAAATTAAAAAAAGATAATTTTCGCTTTATAGGTTTAAAGAACTAAGGAATGTATAGATATGAAAATAGCAGAAGATAATTAAGTACATAATTAGTTAGAAGCATTTCGAAACATAAATCTGCTGAAAGATTTAGATTAAATACACTTGTAATGAAGAAATGAAACTGCAAAAAGTTTGCGAACTATTTAGAGCCTTACCTTGTTGCTTTATAAACCGATTGTTCATCTTGCTATAGATGACCACCTAATTATTTAATATGTTTATACGATTTTATTGAAGTTGTAGAACAATTAGTTATACATATGATCTTCTTAAAGAACTCGCTTTTTCACTTTTTTTATGTATAGTTTTGTACTAGTTATCATTTTTCTTAACTATCCCGAAAAAATTAATATCTTCATACAATTTTATACTTTTAAAAATGTCTGTTTGGTTTCGTAAACAAAACTAGCTAAATCCCACTGAAATAAGTTTATAAATTAATATTTGTGTGGTCGACACTCGAATCGCGCGGTTTATGGTGTATTTACTTCGGGGGAGCGCATTCGCCGACAATTGAGCGAAAACTGCTGCTAACCGGCGCGTTGTGGGATGAAGCCACGAAGTTTTATCCCTCCGTGGTGGTGGTTGCACACGCGGCCTACTACGCTGTCGGTGGTCGCCCTAATACTATCGTGGAAACTTTGCTTTGCATCAAAAGGAACAATTAATGGAAACGGCGATAAAAGCTGCCAACATGTCGGTCTTCTTTTCTTTAGTTTTCTCTGCGATTGAGATAATACGGAAGTAAATGGAGATATTATATTTATGTCACTTAGTGTAAAAAGAAGAGCACTTATGATTGTATAATAGAATGGTTAATTAAAAAAGAAATAATTTCGGTACTTGACATTTTTAATAACATTTAGAAAGAACGCGGTCGCAAAATTGTAAAGCATTTTATAAATAATCCGCATAGACAAAAATTTTCATTCTCTCCAGTCTCTCAGAGTCTTTCAGCGTCTCTGAGAGCGTCTCGGGGTGCATTCAGTAGAGAAAATAATGACGTAGGGAAAGTCACTAGCGTCCACAGCAGAGGTCGGGAATCTGCGGTTTTCACGAGTTTCTTGTACAGCTTTCATTAATGTCAGTCCTTGTGTTAATTATTATGTAGGGGGCAACTTAAAAATTAATAGAATTGGGTAAAAAACGTGCTGCCATTTGTTCAATAAGATAAGAATTACAATGTTGGAGCTCTTATGATAAAAGTATATAAAAACTATAATTTTACAAGCCGCATTTATAGGTATATAAACTTGTGTGGCCTCCTTCATTATACCGAGCGGCATGGCGTAGAGGTTTAGACTATTGCTTAGCATTCGGGAGGACACCGGGTTCGTCTGCCTTGTTCCAAGTTTTTCTGTGGTTTCCTTGGATCATTTAGGTAAACGCTGGGCAATCATATTCCACAGATAATCTTATATTGGT